CGTGGTCTGGATCTGGGCCGTGACGTGGTCACGGCGCACGCCGTCGAGGTAGCGGTAGTCGCTGGCGCCGTCCCCGTTGTAGCGGCGGTTGTCGTTCGCGTTGTTGTTGTCCTGGATCTTGAGGAAGAGAAACGCGAAGCCGGCGAGGAGGAGGAGGATGGGCACGATGTCCGTCCAATCCTTCTGGGGCGGAGGCTGCGGCATCATCATGTAGGGGTACGGGTTGCCCTGGACCGGGTACGGGTAGCCGTTGTTCGGCGGGACGGCGGGCGCCGCCTGGACGGCGCCGCCCCCGAAGCCCGGGAAGGCCTTGACGGAGCCGACGAGGAGAGGAGCGACGACGCGCACGGTCTTGGTCTTGACGGAGGATGCGGACGCGCAGGAGACGATGAGGGCGACGCCGAGCGTGGAAGTGATGAGCTTCATGGTCGTGTCGGAGTAGGGGACCGCGGCGCCGAGGTGTTCGAACTGTCAGAAAGCCGAATCGGGCTGCTCTTGCAACCCCAAAGTGCACCCACTTCAACCACAATGTGTTCCCCTTCACGTTGTGAATTTCGCGGAGCGTCGCGGCACTCGTGCGGCAGCCCGTGGGCAGCCCACCCGACCAGAACAAACGCATCGCAATGCCGCGCTTGGAGCGCCAGGGCAGCGAGCTGCAGATGCAGGGCTGGCTGGTCAAGCGCAAGAAATCCGGCGAGACGCACATCGGCGGCTCGCGCACGAAGCGCTTCTTCAAGCTCTGCTACTTCGCCGGCGGCCGCGAGAGCACGACGGGCCGCGACGACCAGCTCGCGCTCGCCTACTATCGGCGGCCGAAAGATGAGCCGCAGGAATGGCTCAAGGTGAAGGACATCCAGAGCGTCGTCTCGGTGCTGCCCACCGAATTCACCGTCGTGCATCCCAAGCGGTCGTACGTGCTCCGGACCGCGTCGAAGGAGGAGTGCACGGCGTGGGTGAGCGCGATCCTCCTCGCGATGCGCCGCGCGGCCCAGATCACCCCCCGCAAGCTCGATCCCACGAGCCCGTGCTGCTCGTCGCACTCGCGCGACAAGCGGCGGATCCTCGGGAGCGCGAACCGCGGCCCCGCCAAAATCGCCGTCGAGCGGACGGGGTTCTCGAACGGCGAGAGGGAGGCGTTCTACTAGAGAAGTACTAAAATTCGGCAGCATGTGTGTTCGACTTACTCCGCGGGCGCCTCCTCTTTGGCCGCGGCTTCCGCGGGCGCCTCCGCCGCGTCCGCCTCCGCCGCGTCCCCGCCGACCCGGCGGAAGCTCACGACCGCCAGGATTATCTTCCGCAGCGCCGTCTCGAGCCGCACGTCCGCGACGCCCTTCAGCGCCGCCTTCAGCGCGTCCGTGTCGTAGTTCGGCGGCAGCTTCAGCAACACGTGCTGCAGCGGAAGCCCGGCGCGTTGCAGCGCGCGCACAGAGCCGCGAGGTCGACGC